GATATCCCCTCCATTTTGGCCTCAACTTGAGAGCTTTTTTTTGAGCTTGGGAGTTGATTTCAGCAAAAACCAGTGGCATCATCGTGTTTCTCGCGAACTTTTACTTAAGAATCAACAATCAAATCGCAAATTCCTCACACATGCAACATCTCCATTGGGCGACATTGGATCTTTGTTATGATGTCCTTCCTTTGCACGGACGGCAGACCTCGCCAAGGATACAGGAGGGATCCTGGGATCCGGATGTTTGACGTCGCGCCCTTAACTCCCACACGCCCACGTGTGCCGTTCCCGGCGACTCGCTCGTGAGAGCAGGCATACGTATGGAAATCGTAAATCCATCCTCGCGTGTGAAAACAACGTATGTGCAACGCACCCCAAAGCGGGTATCCGTTCTTCCCGCTTAGCAGGATTCAAATGTCCAAGGAGCCTCGGGCTGGGAGCAAAAGCTCTGCTTCACACAAGGCCGCCTGCATTGGTTCAAGGCAAAAAGCATCGGTCGGGGTTGCTATGCATTCTTAAAAAGGTAACTTATCCCCCACCAAGTGCGATGTAAAGTGCGGACATTTTACCTCACGATATGGCAACCTCGCATGATCGTAAACGAGCGGGACAGGAAGCAAAATTCAGCTTTCAACCATGCGAGTCGCGCGGTTTCAGGTAATGGGTTTTCCGGGAATTCGGAAACGGTTCGCGAAAGAGACAGCGATTTTAGTTCGTTTAAAGTCAACGAATTCGAACGCTCTCGAGGATACCGACCGAGTCGTGAATGGAGGCACAGTTGAATATCTGAAAAGGAATCTGCGGTTGGATCTAGTCCCTCTGACCAGGAGCTCAAACCTGGAATTTATTTTTACCTAATGGAGCCTCCGGAGGGCTCTGAGATTTGCAATTCAGCCGAAAAATTACAGCCCAAGTTTCGGGAGAACTTTTCATGTTTCAAATCCGCCCCCAAGGGCCGTCCTTAAATTACGGAACGCACTTTTTCGACTTTTAAACCCCCCCCCCCTCTCCCCCTTGTAACGTTTTGGTGAAGTAGGTCCTTATAGGCCTGGATATACGCTCAAATTTCCATCAATTTCCGACCAAATGGTGACTGGTGTGCGCACCATCTACCATCAACTTTTCGTGGCCTGCAAAAATTTGATGGTAGATGATGGAACTGTGGGTCTCATCTTTCGTCTTATTTCTACGCATCCGTGCTCATCCCATGCTTATTTCAATCAACACACCGTTTTAATTAATTTTACTTCGAACTCTCGACCCCCATTTTTGTCTTCAGTTTGATCGGAAATTAACGGAAATTTGAGCGTGCATCCATCCAGGCCTTACCCTGCAACACATCAAAACAAAATGGCGTAACGCTCTCCTCAACCCTCCCTTCCTCCTAGAGCGTTACGTAATTCAAAGAGACCCCCCCCCTCAAACTCACTAAATACTTCTAAAGTTGAGTTAATATGGACCGTATTCGATAGTGGTTGGAAGTATCGTTTGGTTCAAAAGTATAGAACATAACCTTTAAAAAAAAACTCAGGATTCAAGTTGGAAAAGCAGAAAATGAGAAAATTCTTAACAATTTCACTTTTCATTGTCATTTCCTACTCATAAGATTCAACAATCTATCACAAGAAACCCGTTCTCTCAGATAATTAATTGAATTTTGAGGCCATGTTTACATGTTGAACCAATCGATATCGCTACAATTTCACCTGTTTGATGTGTCGAATACGATCGATAGCCGATTACTGTTAAAAGATGAAGAGTCCGACTTGTAATTATGGCGAAATCTCCAAGCACAGACGGGGGATTTACTTAAACGAGGTTTTCACGACTGCGTCAAAATTATAGTGAGAGAGAAAAACATTCGCCTGCCACCTTTTTTGCGTAATAGAATCAAATTGACGAAACTTGGCTATAATGCAAAATAGAAGTCGAGCCTCCATGAAACTTTTTTTTCCTATGATGATAACCTCCCATCACCATCCCCTTCTGTGTCGTACACAGATCGTAACATGCGATGGAATTATGAAATTCTAGATTTTATGCTGTGTGTCCACACAGTGGTGAGTATAGTTATAGTTTATAGTGGAGCCGAGAGCAGGGTCAAAAACTGAGGTCTCAAACGCATCCTCCCCAAGTCCCAAGTTTTTGGATTTCAACATCAAAGTTCAGCATGAATCATCACAACATACCTCGTAAAAGAAACAAAACAAATTAAGAGTTTGTTCTATAGCCGGACTACACTTTGTAATTAAGAGGTAGTATTTCTTGCTCATTTAAGAAAGAAATAAAATACCGTTTGATTTCCCGTGCAGATAAGTGCTTTTATAGATGAGCATGAAGTAGTAGTTCTTGTAGTTGCAAAATGAAGTCCAGTAATCCTTGTTTTCCCAGCGTTTATTGGTACTTACTTAATTGTGGACTTTTAAAGTCTTAAAGTTCTAAACGTTCAGACTAGGTGCATTTTAGTTGCCGAGGTTCCTTTACCATGGATTGTTACGCAGTGTTATGGTAATTTTTTTTCTTCCTCTGCCCTCTCTTCCCTTCTGTTTTTTATGGATTTAGAAACATTGCCGCTCCCTGAGTTTTTTATCTCTCAAAATCATTGAGTTGAGCCCTCTTGACCCGAGCCCGAGCCAATTTCCGACCGCTAATTGGACGCGATTAACGTAGAATCAGCGTTACTGCATTTTACGTTGCCTAATCTCCTATTGTTTTTAATTTTTGCAAACTAGAAAATCGAGCGATGTAACGCCTTTGAACGTCTCATGTATTTCCTCTAGAGTAGGGAAAGCATGTTCACAAAATTGCAAGACATAACTTTGCATGGTTTCCATATAAAATAACAATAATGAGGGGAGATTAGGCAACGTGCAATGTAGTTAGACTGATTCTGGTCATGCCGTCCAATGACAATTTTGCAAGTTGGCAGTACTGTTTTTCTTGCATTTTAAACCAATGAAAACATTGATTTTGGGTGAGGCAAGCCGCCTCGCCAAGAATCGATTGTTTTATATTTATTTCAGTAGTGGAAAAATTGTGTTCCCAGCATTTAAGAATTGAGGCGGATCCAGCAATTTGGCAACACCGAATTTCCTCCATTTAAACCTATGTTAAATAATCGATTCCTGTCGGAGCACATTGCCCCTCCAAGAATCGATACATTTCCATAGGTTTAAATGGAGAAAAGACAACGTTGCCAATTTCCTGGATTCGCCAATTAGAATTGCCACCGCGGTCCAATTAATAAATTTGAGAAATTGCTGAAATCGCTACGGTTGAGCTTTTTAATCACTGAAGTCAACATGAATCATTGATGACACAACAACTTACTACCCCCGCCCCTCCCTCTTACTACTCGTGATGAAGAACGTCGCGAAAATGGCGATATCAATGGATATTATCACTCGAAGATTGAGATTGAAGCGAAGCAATCGTAAAGAAGCTTTTATCGCGTGTTGCATAATACGCTTATCGCCTTTGTATGTTGTTCTCGAGATAACTTTGCAAGACTGCCTTTGAGTGAGTTAATAGCTCCCGTAAACTCAATTTATCGCTGGACACAAAGAATTATTCGCATTCTTTCCGAGACATTTTCATTTGGCAGCGACGATGGATGCAAGACAGAAAGAGCATCTCTGCTGATAAAAGCTTTTGTGTTGTTTTCTCTTGAGTAAGTTTTTAAATAATTATGAGTTTTTCTCCCTGAGCTGCCGTACTTCTGAGATGAGCAGTTACGACAGAATTCTCCGAATTGAATTGTCATCGACATCTGACTCGTTTATGTCTCAGGAATTTGTTTTTCCCTTTGCGCGGGGAGAGTATTTTATGTGAAAAAAGAGTCCTAAACTTTACAGTTAAAAATTTTTATAATTTTGGACAAAATCTTTCGGGTGAATATTCCTAATTTCTATCTTGTGCTAATTGCCTTTTCAGTCACTTTGTAATTATTGCCTTTGTTCCTCATCATTTTACGGCGTAACTGCGCGTGAGCAAGCAGGTAGTGCTACATACTGCTGTCTTGAGATGCATGCGATGAATCAATTATTTTTTGTCATGACTAACAACAGACATTGTCGATTTTCAACAATCGAATCCAAGAGTGTATGTAATACTTGTGGAACGAAGAGTTTTTCAATATCTTTTGTCACCTAGATGCTAAAACGTTATTTTCTCTCTCTTTACTTTCCCCCTCTCTCTTTCTAAACTAAATTTCGGCACACACTGTTCTTTTCTGCTGCACGGCAACACCGAGTTGCATTTTCCAACAGGAAAATCGCGATTTTCTGAAACTGGATTGCGATTATTATACGATTTTTTGGCAATAAAATTGCTCAGATCCTGAGCGATTATCCTCGACCATGTCGCAATTTTATCTCTGCAAAATCCTGTTTGATAAAATCTAAATTTAATCCAATTTATCATGATTTTTTGTCCATTGCGATAACTTACCTTCGATAAACTCACGATTTTATTGTAACTTTATGCGATGAAATCGCACTTTTTTATTCACTATAACATTGCAATAAATTGACGTCGATGAAATCGCGATACATTTTCCGATCAAATTGCAACTTTTCGCGATCACTACTACTTAGGACGGTCACCGTGCTGCGTCGCGCCTTGAGAATCTGACCCTGGATTTTTATCCTCTCGAAGAGTCTCGAAGAGGAGGACCACCTCATACAAAAAAGGTATTCCAAACTTTCTTCAAGGGCATTCTAGTGATTTTGTCACGTTAAAGTTCTTGATTTATAACTCTGAAAAAAAACTCCGGCCGTGGAAGCCGTACTACCGGCTGTATAGATATACCGTCCGTTCCAAACACAGAGGCCGAAAGTTCCGGGCCTAGCACCCGGAGCAATCTGAGCTACGGCTCAAGCGCCCGGAACGCACGGTACGTCTATACAGCCGTCTCTTTTTTTTCAGTTCATTATTATTGTTACTTTCTTTCCTGTTTCTTCTAAGAAGCTTTCATGAACTTGATTTTTTTCCGGCAGACGTGAAGGTGGAGTCGAACCCGGCAGGCGGGCCGATCAAAGCGGAGCCGAAGAAGAGAGCCAAGAAGAAAGTGGATGATGACGACGAGGGAAGCTCTACGTCGGCAACACCGACGCCGAAGCAAGCGACGCCGAAGAAAGCGACGCCGAAGAAAGCTCATGGAGAGCTGTCCCAAATGCAGACGCAAGTGTCGAGCGACGACAAGCCGAGCAAAGACGACCTCTTCCGGGAGTTCCGGCGTCTCTGCGCCGACGTCGCCAACGAGAGCAGCTACCTCAAGAAGACCGAGATCATCCAGAAGATGTTCACCAAGGGCGCCGACGGAAGTGAGTACCTCATCATTTTTATGCATCTTTAAGGTGAATCTTCAGCGGTGCGCGCGCGGTGAGAAAGTTCGCGCAGGGAGCGTCGCACAGTGGAATGAGCCATTAGAAGAAGTCGGACACGAAATGCTTGGCTATTTCAAAGTTTGATGTTTATCACATTCATTGTATTATTACAATTCATTTTCAACAGGTATTTCGAGAAGAAATCATCAGGATCAGCGGATTTCCAAAGATAACAAGAGGAGGATATACAACGCTGTAGTTAAAAGTATATTAACATATGGATGTGAAGTTTGGCAGCTGAAGAAACGGACACAGGATATCGACGGTGAAAGTCTGCAATCACATAACTCGTTTGCGGTGTCTGAAAATCTCCGCCTCTACGTCATTCTTTTAAAGGAGAACGAATTGATATTATTTCTTGAAGTTTTTGCAGAATTTTCTTCGCATTGAGAAGAAAAATCATGACAGTTTTAAAGAATTGCCGTTGAGTAGTTTTCCATTTGAAAAATAAAGTATGACAGGAAGTCTGCGACGTCGCAAACCGAGTCATGTGATTGCCGACTTTCACCGTCGATATGCTAAGAGCAACGGAGATGGATTTCTGGAGAAGGTCGGCAGGAATTTCTAGGAGAGATCGGGTCCGTAATGATAGAGTACGTCAGATAATGGAAGTCGAAAATGACATCGTGTTCGACATCATGACCAAACAACTTGTCTGGTACGGTCATGTCAATAGGATGACAGAAGAGAGGCTGCCAAAAAAGATGCTTGATTGGGTTCCTCCTGGGAGGAGACGTAGGGGACGCCCAGTGAGAGGTTGGCGACAGGGGGTGTTAAACGAGATGAGGGAGTGTCAACTCCCTGATGACCTGTGGGAAGACCGAGCTTTGTGGCGATTAGGCGTCGGAAAGCGCCAAAGAGCGCTGTAAAAGCGACTCATATATGGACGGAGTTAAACAGAAAGGAACCAAGCCACATCGGGATCGAACCGAGAAAAATAGGTTTAAAATTTGGCTCCTGCATAAGACTCAATGTAAAAAATAAATTTCAAGTTCAATTTCTGCAATATTTGCTCCAACAAAAACTTTGAATTTTTGGCGATAGATAGTAGAGCAGTGGTTGAGTTCAAAACCACTCATAACTCAATTTTTTCAAAAATGTGGGTTGGTTCCTTTCTGCTTAACTCAGTCCATATATATTTCGAGAAGAAAACACGAAAAACCCTATGGAACCATTCTTAAACTTCTTTGTCTCGTACGTTTCGCAAATACAAGCTTTCGAAGTATTCCAAGTTCCCAGGTTTTGCCCGACTCCTCCTATCGACTCGATCCTCTGTGCGCCGCGCTACCGCTGCGTTTTGATTTTTTGATTAACGCCATGAGGCCTTGTCTACACGACCACAGTTTGGACGCATTAGTTCTGCGAATTGTGCCTTTAAAATCATCACAGAGTGGCAGATTTTAGCAGCGCGACGTGGTGGACTGTTTCGGAACTAACGCTGAAGATTCACTTTTCAAAGCTTGATTTTGTAACTATCGCTACTGACCTATTGGTGTACTTGACTTTATTCTCGCGGCTTCACCTCCGGAAAATCCGCAATTAGTTGGCCCTACCTTTCTTGTGCAACAGACTGATTTCAGCCTAATTTGTGTGCGCTAATATCGTTATTGTGAGTCAAACCGCGGCGAGTATTCACTCGCCCGAAGCGTGGTTCCATTCATTCATGAATTCCAGAAGGTTGGAATGAATGAACGTGACATTGAGATACTCGAGCCGCTACTCGGGCCCAAGGTCATGCCGGCTCTCGGATTTAAGAATGAAAAATAATCACGTCACCGATGCAATTACTTTTCGGCAGGTATGAACCGGAGTCGATTAACTTGGTGAAAGTTGAAGTCTTACCGAAAAATTGCTCTTATACATATATTAAAATTGGGGTTTCTTACAACTCTTTTGAGCGGCCCTTAACATCGGACAAAAAAATTCCCGCGGATGCGATAATGCGTGATACGGTCCACGCAAATTGCGCATTACAAAGTGGATTTTAGGTGTTCATCATGACTTCTGGACGGTTTTACTGGGAATAAGTCCATTACAGGGTGTCTACAGGTCCAGATTTCCCGGAAAGTCCGGAAATAGTACTGATTTTTTAAGGGCGGTCCGGAGCTACTGAAAAAGTGCGGAAATTCCGCGAGAAGGTCCGGAATTTTTTTCATTTTTTGTCATTTTTGTCGCATTTTAAGCGAGAAATTCAAATCTTTGAAATTCTTCGAATTTCTTCAATTGGAGGTACTGAATTTTTCTGTTAAGAAGGTACTGATTTTCTTGGGAATGTACTGAAAAAGTACTGATTTTTGTCCAGCCTATTTTAGTGGACACCCTGATTCATTAATATACTCGTATCTCTTCCGTACAACATTAGACTCATTATCTCAATTATAAGTTATTCCAGGAAGGAGGGAAAAACTGCCTCGCTAAGAAAGAACACCGTATGAGCCACCAAGCGTTGCCAAATTGCCTTCGATAAATCACGAATTTTCAGAAAAATCTGTGAATAATTCTCCTCCGATTTTCGCAGGATTTCATCAGTGATTCAATCTAAAAAGTCTAGACATTTTTCAACGACGAATATTCGAAACTTTCTCGAAGAGTAAATACTTTTAAAGAATATATTTGGCAACATTCGAATGCTTTTGGCGTTTTGACTTAGCAAGGAGGAGAAAAACGTGACTCCACTTCCAAGACTTGACCTTTCGCTTTTTCTCCGGTTTCCCATGCTTTTGACCTATCTCGAGCTTCCTCCGCGTTATTCTATCGCGAGCTTGAACCACCGGGGCCTTCAGTTATCGAGCGGGGATTCTATTGGTCGGCGATAAGAAAATATTCTTAGTTCGAGGCCTCGGCAAGGAACGCCTTTAGAAAGAAAACCAAACTCGAATCGGTTGTTTTTTCTTCTTTCTTCTTTCTCAGGCCGCACGTCAACGAAACTCGCTTTTAAGCAGGAACCTCGTATAAGTTTCGAATTTTGTCAAACTATCTTTCTGATAAAAGTTTTTATGAAAAGCTGAGATACTCGAAATGAAATCGCCAATTTACTTTCCGAAAATATTCATGGGAAAAAATTGAATTCTCACCAAATCTTTTTAATGCTCGAGAAATTTGGAAACGTGTGAATGTTTTCAAAGCATTCTTCCTCAATTTCACTCTCGTAAATTTTTTTCTTGCAGATTCCGAATTCGAGAGATTGCCTTTTAAAAAATAATTTAATATTTCATTTGAGAGTGCTTGATAAGCTGAGTTCTCAGTACCTGTACAATTTTTTTTTTTTTTATATAATATAAGAAATTGCAGGAAAAGAGATTTAAAAGCGAGAAATTTTGCCGCTTTGTGACATCATAAGGCGGCATTTCCGATTTAAACACATTAATTTTAGCAGTTTAGGTTAATTTGTCGTATCTCCTCGAAAAATAGTTATAAATTTAGAGACTAAGGATACCCTCTCGCTTGGTTCACTCATAGACCCAATTCAGCAGGAAAATCATAACATTCCGAACACCTGCAAATTCTTTCATCCAGCGCCATGGTGTGTTTTGCGATATATCGATTGATCTTTCATATAAACCTGTTGACGAGTAACGACAAACAGGGTGCAACGGACACTTCAATATTAGATTCTTTACCACAGCTTCAAAATGGGAAATATCTGTAATCGATAATGCTTCGCCACCACTTTGATCCTTATCCCGTGGCGGCTATGAATTTTCCTGCTGCAATTAGATGTTTAAAGCGCGGACGAGGAATTTCCTGTAGAAACAGCGGATGCTTAATGTGCTTCTACTGAGACACACGTCATATTTATATGTAACGCTTTTCATCGTATCCCCGATCGGTCGTAAGTAATTTTCGTTCACGAACGGATGGAATCGCTTTTCTCGGCCGACAGGATCTATTAGATTCCCGGCGCGGCGTAAGGGACGTGATCCCTTTTTCGCGGAATGGAGGCCTGCATTTGCAACCGATGTAGACGGGGTCGGATTTGAACTGCGGAGGAAGCGAGAGCACAAAGAACGGAGGAGAGTAACAGGAATTTAAGCCACTTTGCATCTATTTCCAGAGGATGCCATACCTGTTGCTCGGCATACAATGAAAGTCGTCTCTACGAAAGGAAACTCGTGGAAAGCGGAAGAAATCTCTTTGAAAACATTCTATAGCTCGGAAAACCATTAATAGTTGTTTATATGGATGAGGCTTTGGATCACGTTGCAAGGAGGGAGCATCGTCGTCATATTTGGTTCGGGTGTCCTCGTCTTTTAGTTTATTTTGTTTCAGGATTTACTTTTTTCCAAACACCGAGTGGAGTTAAATCTTAAGCAGCGGACTGATTATTGTAATTGATAGACAAAGCGATAGACAAAGAGGACATAGGGAATATGGAGCGATCTTATCGGTTGCAACTGGTGGTTCTTACAGACTGAGAGGGAAAATTATGGACTAACTGTTTGGTCTCTTGTCGGTTGCTGTTAGTTCGTCTATTAATGACCTCCTTTGTCCATTGCAACCATCCGCTTCCACCAATAGGATCTCACCTTATCCCTTTTCTCTTCTTTGTCTATAGCTTTGTCCATCAATTTCAATAATCGGCCCTCAGGACCCGTCATTTCCTCGTTTCCCTCACGACAGTACGCAACTAATTTTAGATGTCGACAAATTTCCCCTCGCCAATCGGATCTTCACCGGGCGAATTTTGGGCAATTCTATCCGAAAATTTCCCTCAAGTTGCTTCTGATCCCATGCAAAAATCAGACAAAATTTGGGTAAAATCTCGCAACGACATTCTTGTGAAAAATTGAATTTTTCCAGTCAATTTTCCAATCTTGGAATGGAGTGACTTTCTCTCGAGGAGTTTTGGTGAAATGACGCCCCAACAGAGCCCCCTCTTCCATAGGCTTTGCTACCCAGTGTTCCCTTTCCATGACCTTCAAAAGTTTTGTTCCAAA